ACAACATATTCTGGTAAAATTATTCCAGAAGGTCTCAAGTTGTGTCTTCTGAGATGTGGCCTGGTTTCCTTTCCTGAGTCAGACTGTCTCTGACTTGGTGGATCAAAATTACAGTGTCCTCTTCCCTAAGTCCAAGAAGAGTTTAATGTATCTTTTTAGCAAGACATGAAGAGCTTGCCTACCAGCCTTCTAGACAGCATACTTCAGCATTCATCTCTTACTACCTCAGCTATTCTGGCTTTTGGAGTTTGGATGAGACTATACACTGAGGCTAGCTTGATGGATAGAATCTATACACTGTCAAAAAACAATCTTTGATGCTACCTGGAAAAAAGGACTCTTGTCATTCCAGGTGATGGAGGGTGCCAGGACCCGTAGTGTGCCTTCAAAGACTATTCCAGATGTATGCCAGCACTGTTCCTGTTTAGCTCTCATAGTATTTGTTGTTGTAAGGGCAATTCATGTAAAGGAGAGAGCTACATCAGTCTGGAGTTCAGGAACCACAGTGAAACATTGCTGAAGATATAGGCAAATGCACCACTTCTGTGGGCAATCACTGAAGTTCAAAGGACATTGCTCAAAAATAAGAATTAGCAAGAGCGTTAGTATGAGAGGTATCTTCATAAAAGAATAAGCTCTGGGCCAGCAGGTGGTGTGGTGGTTAGGACAGCTGCAGTCTTCATGGGGAACTGTGTGATCTGAATCCCAATTCAGTGACTTGAAAAGGAACAAGGCCAGCAGGTGGCATGATGGTTAAGGTGCTGGACTCTCACATGCCTGACCACAGTTCAAGTCCATGACCCAGCAGCTTGAAAATCATGTTGGGTGCATGTGTATGTGTGCCCAAAATCCCAAGAGGAAAATGAAAGAGAAGGAATTGTAGAATTGTCAGTCCCTTTCCCTGACCCCCATGGGTGATTTCTCACTTTTCTTCTCTCTCTCTCTTTCTCTCCCTCTCCAGTGAGCTCACATACTCTATGGCAAAAGCAAACCAGCAAGAAAAAGAAGAGAGAGAGAGAGAGAGAGAGAGAGAGAGAGAGAAAAGAAGAGAGAGAGAGAGAGAAAGAAAGAAATAGAAAAACATACAAGGCACATATATTTGTGTATCCCACACGCTTAGAGGAGGATGGAGTGGAAGGGATTGTGGCATGGCCATACCCCATGGGAACAGGATGATTTCTCACTTTGCCTGTCTCTCTCTCTTCAGCAAGTGCACATGCCCTATACCAATAAATAAATAAGCCTACAGAGACATCTGCTATGAACATGGATCAGTGTTGGCTGCAAATTTTGGAGAATCTCGTCTACCTCCCCACTCTGCTGGCCTTGAGTTCACCACCCTGAACTTGCCATAGGAACACAAGTGTGTGGAGAATACCTGGGAGAACAGTCGTTGCCTTATTCTCTTTGTAACTGGGGTCCTCCCTGGCTACACATGGAGCAGAGGAGACATCCTGATCATCCAACAAGAAGGTGGTGCAGTAGGGAGGCTGCTGGGATTCATACAGGTCATGGAGCCTGGAGGAAGTCTCACGGCCTTCATCAGATGAGTCCTGCAAGACTTCATTCACATTCACCTCCCGTACGCCACTGCTCAGAGCGATGAGACAAAGAATATAGTTAGGGCATGAGGGCTGGGAGACCACCGTTCTCCATGGTCCTGATTGAAGTCATAGGGAATGGTTGCACAAGGGAAAGAACAGCGTATTCAAAGAGTAGGAAAACAAATTCCCCTGATGAGAAAAGAGTGTGGTGGCCTGAGGGGAGGAGGGAGAGTAAAGGAGATGCTCAGTGGGCTCTGATTAGGTCCGAGTGTTAAGGACGGAGACTCAACTGTGCCCATGTGGTACGGTCTCTGCATGCAGTGCCCACAGAGGCCCAGCAGTGGCACGACCTTGTGAGTAGACTGCACTGCATGTTGCATGCAGCAGGCCAGTGAGTACAGGCTCCCGAGGGAGGAGTTCTCAGAGGTCTGGGCCTTCTAGGCCTCTTCTCACCAGTACTGTGACATGGCCTTTTTGCCTGGTCACATTTCTTGTCATGCTTTCCCTGCCAAAAATAAACTCTGGTGAAAAATAAGTTTGACCAGAACAGAGAACAGGGAGATTCTGTGGTATGAAAATATTCATCCAACCTCTTCATTTCCCTTTCATAAAACTGACAATTTCTACAAAGATCCTAGATGGCCTGGCCAGTTTCACATTACTTGAATTAATGGAATTGTTTCTGCATTTTTCTTTCCCATTTTATGTAAAATCTAGGGCTACTTTGGACCTCTTGGTCTGTTCATACAGGTCCTTCCCCATATGGTGACCCTCCTCTCCTAGGTCCCACCTGTCCATTGGTACCTGGGGGCTGGTGGTTCTTTTTCAGTTTGATCCTCCTCAGTTTCTTGGACTTCTGCATACAAATTCAGAAATGCCAAGTGAGACCTCAGGTAGTTCCATATGACCCATTACAAACACAGTGGGCTACTAATTGTAAGAAATCAGCTTTGGCTGTTGTAGGAGGAGAAATTCTTTCTATGAGCAAGTTCCTATAAACAGCAACATTCCCACCAATGGCTGCTCCCATAACAAGTACCTCAAGAGACCCCAAAGAGGGAGTGTCTGTTTTCCTTGAAGTGCATTTTTGACATTTCATTCCCACATGTGATGATTAAAGCCACCATATGGTATGTCTTTGACAGATGAGGAGACAGAAATTCAGGAGGGTAAATTACTCGCCCACAGTTAATAAAGACAGCAGTCAATACAGAGCCTGGCAAGTTTCATTCTTAGTCCAGGACCATTGTGACTTTTTTTTTTTTTTTTTTTTTAGAGATTTTCACTGTAGGGCGCGTGTGCTCGCCAGACAGACAGAGAGAGACATAGAGACAGAAAGCGAGAAATCACCCCCCAGGGGGGATGGTCACGCCGCAATCCCTTCTCCTCCATTCTCCTCTCGGGATCTTGGGCACGCACGCACACGCGCCCGGCGTGACTTTTAAGCCACCGGGTCCGGGACACGAACCGTGGTCGACTATGTGGGAGTCCAGCGACACAGCCATTACGCTAACTGCTGGTTCCCCATTGTGACTTTTAACAGCCCCTCCCACATGCTGCTTCTCTTCTCCAACAGTGGATGGATGCTTTCTCGCCCAAAGTCTGTATTCTATCAGGGAGGAACAACGCAGCTGGAGTGCTTGACCTCCACCCTGTGCTTTTCTCTCCCATGTTTCCACCTGGCCTGATCTGATCCTGTCATGGCACTAAATGGAATGTGGAACATAGAAAGCAGATCATTAGGTTTGTTTTGTTTTGTTTTTGTTTTTGTTTTTGTTTTTGTTTTTAAGTCACTTTATGAGTGAGTGTCTTGTGAGGGAGGACCCTAAGAGTGCTTCAGTGGAATCAGGACTTGTGGCCACCTTACCTGGGCTGAGCTTGCAGGCAAGGCACTCTGCCAGCCTGTGCCCCTCAGCCAGTTGCTCTTGGAAGTCCTGCCTCTGGTGGTTGTTACTGTTGAGGAGGTCCCTGAGATGTTGAAGGAGTAGTAAAGAGATACGTCTCCCTTCCTGTAACTGTTCCCTTAACATGGTCAGTTCTTCATCTTGAGATTGAATTACAATATTGCATTCTCTAAGGTGGGACAGAGAGAAGATTTAGGAATGGAAAGACTTAATGATGACTGAAACAAGCCAGACTATGAAAGACAGGCATTGTATGTCCCTGTTTAATATATACTGAATGTCTGTTCTTTATAGCAGAAACTGAAAGATTGGAAAGTATAATGGCAGGGAGGGCAACTGTAGATACTAGAGACAGTGTATCAGGGTGTGAATAACGGGGGTGGTGGAGAAGTAGTGAGTGGGAGGGAGGGAATCAGGGAAAAAACAAACAAAACACTTAATAAATTTAAGTGAAAAGTTATCTGTTGATGATAGTGTATATGGTAATGTCTTTGACTTGACTAATATGCACTCTATTGATGCTGGGGAAAAACATCTTGTACAATGTAAAGATGTACAGTAATTAAATAGAATTTTTGTTTTAAAGTTCAAAGAGTTGAACAACAGATTGAGATTTGACAGAGATTTCTGTGAGGTGTCCCTAAAGTTCTTTGCAAGCCAAATTTCAGCACATGTTTGGGGGTCTCTGTGGCCAACAGAAAGGATATAAAATGGAAGCCTCATCTGTATCAGAAAGTGCCCCTGTAAGACTTCTTGGTATTCTCCACAGCTGTTTCTTCTGTAGTCACACCCAGGTGTCTTTCTAAATCTGTTTCATAAATATGTACCTTCAGTTCCTCATTTTGGCCACAGATATCTAATGTAAAAACCCATATAGTGCAGTATGTGCTCATGGGCACAAAGCCACACACGGAAATGAGAACATGGACAGCCTGTCTTAATTAGAAAGATAAAGAAGAAAAGAATGGCAGGAATGAAAAGACAAGATTGTTTCAATGAAAGAAAGATCAGAAGCCACAGTCAGGATATGATTTTGATTAAGAGTAAATTAAGCAATGATTATACAAAATTGGGACTATACTAATAAATACCACTGAGTTGTCTGCTTTTAATCTCATATAAATTTTAACCAACAAATATAAAAAGGAATAAACAAACACTTGAGTAACAATTGTTGTCCCCAATCTGCCATCTTTCCATTCTCCACCTATTTCATAAATATTTGTGCCTCCCATGTAAATTTCTGCCCTTCCCCGGCCCAAGTAGGATCTTGGTTTTCTCAGTGAAGCCACCCCACTTTAGAGATACATACACCTTTCCACCAGCCTGTCCTGTACAGAGATGACTTACCTCAGCCTCTCAGCCAACGAGGTTCTCTCTGCCAGCAGCTCTTCCTCAATCTGCAGCTTCTCCCCCAGCATGGATCCAATGATATCTTTGCCCTCACGTTCTGAGAAATGACAGACACTGCCTCAGTGCACAAGAAGACATACTGCCACGGTCACTGCCTTCAGGAGAGGAGGCAGGGTCCATCCTAAGGTAATTTTAGCCCTAGTTCTAGGCTCTGTGTGAGTGCGTGTGTGTTGGGGTGGGGGCCCTTTCCATATCTGTGTTTCTCACCCTCCCAGTGACAGGACAACACTTGGGAAGACCCCTAAGACTAAAAGGCTGAACATTCCTTTGAGCTCAGTATTTCAAATACAAACAGGAGTCACAAAATACCACATCTAGATACACCTGAGTGCAATCTAAGAGGGAAGACCTTAAGGACCTGAAAGAAATACGGCAAACACTAAGAAAGCTTATGGTAAGAAGTACTAGAACCATGAACAGCCAGTGGTCACTCTATGCCAAGGTTTGTGGTGAGAGCTGCTTTACAAGAATTAGGGAATGTATTCTATGACGTAAAAGAAGTGGGGCTGCTGTATACTCTATTAACAGGAAAGGACACCGGAGTGTGGAGGAGAGAGCCAACTTGGAACCCAGGAGACTGGCCCAGGGTTCCGGCTCTGCCTATTGTGTTACCTTGACAAGGATGTAGGTCATCTCTTTCTTGTTCAACATTGAATTTTTCTCCTACAGATATATTAGGGGAAAGCTGTTAAGAAAACATAGTTTGGGGGCCAGTAGGTGGTGTAGTGGTTAAGGCGCTGGACTCCCATATGGCTTTTTGCAGTTCAGGTCCTCAACCAGTGGCCTGAAAATCATGCCAGGTGCATGTACATGCATGCCCAAGATCATGGGAAGAGAATGGATTAGAAGGGATTTCAGTGTGACCATACCCCTTGTGGGGTGATTTCTCACTTTCTCTCTCACTATCTCTGTCTCTGTCTCTCTCTCTCTCCAGCAAGTGCATATGCTATAAGGCAAAAACCTCTTTTAAAAAAATCCTTAGAGGAGAATGAAGGAGAAGGAATTGGGGGTGATTTCTCACTTTCTCTCTGTCTCTGTGTCTCCAGTGAGTACATGCACTGTATAGCAGAAATATCACTTTTAAAAATAAAACAAAACAAAACATAGTTTTTAAACTAAAACTCATCCCTTAAATTCTTTAATAGGCTTCAATTTTTATTTTTCTCTGTAAGTGCTTTTTTGTTTTAAAACATTCCTCCAATAAGTTAATAGGAGAATGATGCGTGGGTTGAAATCAGGGCTGGCTGGATTCCTTGAACTCCTTATTGTGCATATGCCCATCTCCACTATCCCTTCCCTCAGTCCCCTCACTGAACTGGCCAATGTGTTTCCAGGTACCAGGCTGGCTGTGGGAGGGAAGGGCCTGTCCCACACACAGACGCAGGTTTTCACTGGGGCTGATGGTCTCCTCCATGTACCCCTGTCTTCACTGTGTCACATGTCTCATGTCTCAGATCCTCAGGGTTCCTCTGAACCTTCTAGTTGTCCTGCCTCCCTAAGTTCCATGGGGAGACAGATTGTGGCTATGCCCAGAAACACCTTCAGTTTCATCAGTGTCAAAGACTTGTTGGACTCACAGGTAAAAAAGAGTCTGTGCTCCAGAAAGCAGGACTTCCCATTCACCAAGGCTGTCCCTTTTGAGGTGTCACTTCAAGATACAAAAGTTTCGGTTGCAGCAAACTTATCTTTACGCTCCTTTAATGCAAGCACTGTGAAATGCCATCCTGTTTTCCCCAGTGTAATCTATACAGTCCTTTTCTGAGGGGCCTCTGCAGAAGCTCCAGTTGGATGGAAGTTCGTCAGTGCCAGACATTTACAGCAACAGTGTCGTTACGTAGCTGTGAATTCTGACACACTGCAGAGAACATCCTAATAGAAATGGATCAGCCTGCTCCTGAGAAAAATGGGCAGTTCTGTGCCTGCAGCAGAAATCTGCAACTGGGTTTCAGCTCTTGTCCCACCTTCAACTCACTAGAATCTTGTAAGGATTTCCATTCTCATAGGTTGAGGGTAAAAGTCCCACTTCCTCCTTCTTAAGAGGATGGCAGAATATAATTTATGTCTATGAGGAAGGAGAATTAAGTCTATGGTTTCTCAGAAAGAAGACACATAACCACTCATCAGACTGGTGATGGTGAACCTAGAGAACTTACTAGATTTTTGCAGCCGGTAGGCCAGGGAGGAGGCAGTAGCCTCCAGTGCAGGAAATTTCTCTTTTGGATCTTGGTACTGCTGTTCACTCATTGCTGGTTGGGAATGCGATTGCTGATCGACCTCCAAGATGTTCCTTTCTGCCTTGGACTCAGACAGAGGGCTGAGGGATACAGCCATGGTGATGCCTGCGGTCCCAGGCAAAAACCTCTGGATGGTGGCAGAGACTGGGGAGAAGAAACCCAAACACATGATGAGTTAAAAACAAGAGGGGGGACCAGAAGGTGGCATGGTAGTTAAGGCACTGGATATTCCTACGTGGCTGACCATGGCTCAAGTCCCAGAAGTGGCAGCTTACTTTCTCATTTTCTCTTTCTCTCTGTCTCTCTCTGGTCAAACTAAAATAAGTGAATGAATAAATATAATTAAATAAAATAATTTAAAAAAACAAGGGGGGGGGACCAGCTGTTAGCATAATGGCTGTGTCACTGGACTCCCACGTAGTCGACCACAGTTCGCGTCCCAAACCCGGTGGTTTAAAACTCGCGCCGGGCAAGGCTGCCCACTTTCTCCACTGCTCTTTAATATAGTACTGGAAGTCTTAGCTATTGCAGTCAGAGAAGAGAACAATATTAAAGGCATTCGAATAGGCAAAGAAGAGTTGAAAATATCTTTCTCTCCTGAAGGTCACCAGTGACAGGGACCAAGCCCTGAGTACTCCTCTCAGTACTGGCGTATCCCTGTGCTCTCTCACAAACACATCTCTCTTTCCCCAAATGTTACAATCTGTATCAAACGACTCATTATGGTGTGTAATGAACATCATCGAGGAGAAATAATTTCCTAGACTTTATTTTATTATTGGCTATAAGAAGTCACCCCACTAGTCTTTGAACAGTAAACAGATCTTAATGCCTTCCCTTGAGTGAAAAAT